CGTGAGAGATTACTTAAAACACAATCGACTTAAATATGTATTATTCGAATGTTCGAAATCGAATAACTCTGTACTCAAACAAAATGCAATAAAAATTTATCGAGCAGAATAAAATTAGAATCGAAGAGTTCAAAACCTAATTTCGTGATTATTAATTGTTTCTTGGGATACCTTGAAATAGTGTGACTAAAACGTTCATAAATAGGAGACAAAAATCCTTGGTATCAAAAGTCTAAAAGATGGAAGAAAATCCAATCAAGATAAAGGGAATAAATTCTCATGGATCACTCATAAAGATCTACTTTTAGGAGGCACCATAATTGGAATCATACGATTTTATTTTTTTCTCTTCCTTTTTTCACTGTTCTTGATTACCAATGTAGACAAAGTATATAAATTTTAAAATCAAATGTTTAGTTATTTAACTTTTAAATTGATTTTTTTGGTATAATTTTGTGTATAGATGAAATTATAAATTTCACTATGAAATGCGCTAGCACGCACCACTCTGCTATCATCGATAGATTGATGTTGGGAGCAACGGCCGTGACAATTAGTAAAGTCGGGAATAATAAAACTCTTTACATCAATATGTCTATTTTTAGCATATTTATCCGATGATATTGAAATAATGTCACCGAAGTTGCCTAAAATAGTTGGTGCTCACTATTCACGACGTTCACATTGCACTTGTAATTGTAATTGAGTGACCATAAAAAGTTTAAATGCAGACTCCATGTGGCCATGAGATGGTTCATCACTCATTTTTCAACCTTCCCATGACAATGGTAATGTGTAAATAAGGATCGAGCCGTCGGAATAACTTTACTTTTCAACAAATATCAATCATAAAGTCTGAGTCGGTCCAGAAAGCACCGGATCATATCACGATCAACTTTGTAAGTCAACTTGGGTATTGAGTATTTACTTGGAACCAAACTTTTTTGCAATGGGCAGTTGCAGTTCCGGAAAAAGTGTCAAATTTTTCTCACATTGAATCATTCATAGGATTCATTTGGTTCTTTTGAATCCTGCTCTAGCTAAATGATAAAATAAAAAAAATTATCGTTCAATACTTCAATACATTATATGAATATGAATATAGACTTTTGATTCGAAGTATCAAATTCAAACAATTTCTTTCAATAAAGGTATTTACAACTATTTAAAGAGTTGAAGTCAACAAGTTCATTGCCAACTCCTTGTCCACTCACTTTTCTAATCCTTTTTCCGGTTGCCGGAGCTCCGGAGAGCTTTTAGACCGTGACAACTCCGGTCAAGCAAGGGCTTAAAATATGAAGAGCAAGAATTTGGCTTTAATTTATTTTTTTCTTTTTGTAGAATTATGGAGTTATTTATAGATTTCCCAAGCCTTGGGGCTTTTCAGTCCTTCGGCATTACTTGGACTCGTGTCGCGTTATTATTTATGAACCTATAATCAAATGCAATTCTAAATGGTTGTCTATGTGCCTTCTCTTGTGTTCGAGTGGGACCATTTTATGCTGCGTGGATCACGAAGTAACGACTAAAATGGATTCCATAAAATTGTTGACTATTCAAGATTTTAATTAACTTTTCAAGTAAAAGATTAGGTCATAATTGTAAATCCATTTCATTGTGCTGTTGCACTCTCGTTCTTGATTCAAGTCTTTGATAATTTACATACTATTCAATACTTGACAATCTTGGAGTAATTTTTACACTTGGTGTTCGATATGTTGAATAAAGACCTTAAGGAATGCATTGTGGCTAGAATCAAACCCATAAACTCATTTTTTATTTAAAAAAATTGGAATGGCATTATTGTTGAGCCCCTGTTTTGTAGCAATTAAAATCAAATTTTAATAAATTTTGATAGAAGTTGATGAAATGTGTGGTCGAAAAGTTGTGAATCTCATGAAGTGTGTGACTAAAATTAATTGTTGACTTTGACTTTGATTAAAATTTTGATTTTAATTTTTACCGAACATGGGTTCAATATTATGAAACGTGATTGGAATAAGATCAAGGGATAATTACAACAACAGTCCCAAATCTTTCATTTTTTTGCAAAATTTTACCTTAAATCTTCATTTTGTGGTAACTACCCTCCAAAACTTTTCATTTTGTTGCAGTATAAGAACAAATGGATAAATCGTTAATTGACCAAAATTGACCAAAATGAAAAGGGTAAAATGGTATTTTTTTTTATTTTTCTACATAAAATAATTAAATAATTAAAACAAAACAAAAATAATTTATCTCTTCATCACCCCCTCCCTCCCACCCACCTGGTGGGTGATGGGTATTGGTGGGGGTGGGGAATTGCGTGGAAGAAGATGAGTTTTATATTCTTTTTTTTTTAAAATTTAGTTTTTAACTTATTTTATGTGGGAAAATAGCAAATTTATCATTTTACCATTTCCAATTTGGTCAAAATTGGTCAAATTTTCATTTTCTTGGTTAAATGATGGACAGATGGATGGAATATTTGTACTTTTACAACAAATTGAAAGGTTTGATATATTGGGGGGCACAAAGTGAATGTTAAGATAAAATTTGAAAAAAAGTGAAAAGTTTAGAATCGTTGTTGCAATTATCCCTAAGATTAAACAAAACATTAATAATTAATTCAAAAAATGTTAATACCAACTGTAGTGACGGTTGAGAATGTCCAATAAGTGAACTATATAATAATTATTAAGAAAAATTATAGTAGCGGTACCTAACCTTTTAAATTTTGCATATTTTACATTAACCTTCAATTTGTGTTAACGAAGGTCTTTAACTTTTCATAAATATACATTGGAGTCCAATTGGATGGAAACCATCCATTTGACCATTAGTTAATCAAAAAAAGTGGACTTTGTTCAATTTTGATCAAATTAAAAGGAATAAAATGGTAACTTTGCATATTATCCCTAAAATAAGTTAAAAATTAAATAAAAAAGGAAAAAAAATGTAGAAAGAAAATAAAACTCTTCATTTTCCACCCATCACCTCCCGAAAACTAGTAAAACCATTGGCTGCCGCCGAAATTTCATCCTCCAGTCAACAACTTCAATCGACAAATACATCTCATACAATTAATTGGACAAATAACAACACAAAAAGATCAAATTCAAATTGAAAGACTGAAGGACTTGTACAGCTTAACCCCTCAAACCGTCGCCTACGGTCACACCCATGGTCATGCCTAACTGCCGTTAGTCTCATCCACTCTAGGCAAGGATATTCATGGTGGAACATCATCAAATTATGGTGGAACGCTAATTTGGTAATTTACTGAAATTGTGGTGGAGATCTGATGAAAAAGGAAAGCCGCGACTATGGGAAGTAGAAACAAGTGATTCTGAAGCAATTTTCGAAATTGTATAATAAGGAGTTGGATATTGGGAACCCTTGTTAACTCATCTTGTTGAATGTAATATCCTACTTAAACAAAAATTTAGGAAATCAATTAAAAGTGCTTACAATTATAATTGTTAAAGTAAATGAATAGTTAATGAAGACATGAGAATGGAAAATGGCAAACTATCTTGGGGAAATTGTTCTTGGACCTAAATGCTAAAATACTCGTTGAAACTGGCATCATCCAAATCATGGTCGAAGAGATTAGGACTTGGTAAATGTTATGTTGTGAGGGATGATGGAGGAAGATGGTGGTAATTTGACAATATAGGCAATGACGGCGACGATTTTGGATTATTGTTTGGTTTGGGAGAAGATGAAGATGGGATTGAGGGGGGGGGGGGGGGGGGATTTTTACGCGACTATGGGAAGTAGAAACAAGTGATTCTGAAGCAATTGTCGAAATTGTATAATAAGGAGTTGGATATTGGGAACCCTTGTTAACTCATCTTGTTGAATGTAATATCCTACTTAAGCAAAAATTTAGGAAATCAATTAAAAGTGCTTACAATTATAATTGTTAAAGTTAAATGAATAATTACCGAAGAGACGAGAATGGAAAATGGCAAACTATCTTGGGGAAATTGTTCTTGGACCTAAATGCTAAAATATTCGTTGAAGCTGGCATCATCCAAATCATGGTCGAAGAGATTAGGGCTTGGTAAATGTTATGTTGTGAGGGATGATGGAGGAAGATGGTGGTAATTCGACAATATAGGCAATGACGGCGACGATTTTGGATTATTGTTTGGTTTGGGAGAAGATGAAGATGGGATGGGAGGAGGAGGAGGAGGAGGGGGGGGGGGGGGATTTTATTTTTTTAATTGTTATTTTTAAATCAAATGAGAAATTTGATATGGACGAAAATGCCCCTATTAAAATAGTCAAAACACATTTTTTGTATTTTCCAGGTCAACTAATGATTTTATAGACGCTTTCCGTCATGTTGGACTCCAGGTGCATATTTATAAAAATGTTAGGGACCTTCACTGATACAAATTGAATGTTAGGATAAAGTGTAAAAATTAAAAGTATTAGGGATCGCTGATGTAATTTTTCCTAATTATTATTATTGTATCCAAATAAATCCAAACAATTACACGATTGCCAATAAAATAAAAGTAATCAAGAGGAATAATACGTACAGGTTACCAACTTTAAACGGGACATGACAATTACAAACGAAAATGAATAACGCCTTTCCTTAAGAATGAAGAAATTTTACTCTATTTTATTTACCCGTCAATTCTCTTTTCCTGCAGCATCTGCTAAGCATCTAATTCCTTTTTTCACTTTTGTGCTGTGGAATTTTTTTCCCTCTCGGAAAGTGTCTTTGGCATTGATCATTACAATACAACAGAAAGTTTAAGCCCTTTTACTGTTCTTCTTCCTTCAATTTTTTTCTTTCTTTTTCTCTTCTTGGGTTTTTCTTTTCTCACTTGAATTTGCATTGGAACTTGATTTTCTTGGGGGAATTCTCTTGTTTTAATTCCTGGGTTCTGCTCTTTAAGCTTGAAAATCTAATCTTTCTTTGAGTTTTCCAATTGAATTTCCTTCTTCCTTGGTTTTACATATTCTGTTGAATCTACTAACTATTGGATCTTGATTCCATGGGACTGTGTCATGGAAAACCCGTTGAACCTCCGCAAAATCTATCTGAAAATCCAGTAATACCAGGTGAAATCAATGAACATACTCTGAATTCTTCAACTGGGAAAACACCAAAATTCCCATTTTACAGTCCAAGTCCCTTCAAAAACTCACCTGCAATTCATTCAACTCCTCTCCGCTTCCTTAAACGCCCATTCCCACCACCATCACCAGCTAAACATATTAAGGCATTTCTTGCAAGGAGGCATGGCTCGATGAAGCCCAATGAGGCCACTATACCTGAAGGGAGTGAGTGTGAGATTATTGCTCTGGACAAGACTTTTGGGTTTTCTAAGAATTTCATCAGCCATTGCGAGCTTGGGGAAGAAATGGGAAAGGGTCATTTTGGGTATACTTGTGCAGCAAAGGGAAAGAAGGGAAGCTTGAAGGGGCAGGATGTGGCTGTTAAAGTTATTCCAAAATCAAAGGTCTGTCTTTTAATGGCAGAAAGTCTCTCTTTCAATTATTTTTGATTTGTTGATTACAGGTTACAGTTCTATGTAAAAGATAATATAAATGTCCCTTGCCTTTTTTATTATGTCTCTTTTGCTCATCTTGCAAGCTTTCTGTCAGTTTCCATGTGTTGACACGTCTCTGTTGATCGAAGTTCTTTTCTATTTATTTATCCTTCGTTGATATCAATTCCTTAGTGATGTTAATTTAATTTTTAATATTGTTTGGTCTTGTTTGTAATGCTTTTTGGACAGGAGACTTGCTGCAATCCATCCTTTTTATGCATATTTTGGATTTTTTAAATGCGAAAAGGAACATGATGTACAAATAACACCATTTAATAATTAACGTCACACTTTTTCTGTAAGAATTTCACTTGAGTATTCCCACATCAGAGTTTGTTTGCTGTTGTTGATGCTATGCGAAGGGGCATCTGTAACTTCAAAACTGCCATTATTGTTCTCGCAAGAATTTGAATTTGATGTAATAGCCAAATTATCAACAATTTCATAATTTGACAAAAAAAATTGCTTGATTTTGGAGAATTTGGATGTTAGCTGGTGGCTTTTTACTATTTCCATTTTAGATCATTATTTTACTTTCATTACCTATTGACTATGGATCCTGATTTCAAATTTATGTATGTAAATTATATTGGTTTGTGATCACTCAACAAATGCAAAGTTGGTTGTTGGAAGTACCATTATCTCATATTGCCTTAGGAAAGGTGTTTTCGTTAACTCATGCGGATTTTTCCATTGAGAAAAGAGTGGTAAACCATCCCATGCTCATAATTGTTCTTTATATATGGATGTACATATCGATGTTCACTTTATCTGACTAAAATGAAAATATTTATGCAGATGAATACAGCTATTTCCATTGAGGACGTTAGAAGAGAAGTGAAGATATTACGTGCGCTAACAGGACATGAGAACTTGGTGCAATTTTATGATGCATATGAGGATGAAGACAATGTATATGTTGTGATGGAGTAAGTTTGGACTTTGAACTGTTTAGATCTCACTAATGTGGGTGTGCTTCTGCTATATTTCTTCTTAGTTAATTATCTTAAAAATCTGTCCTGATTACTTGTGGCAACACAGAATATTTTGGCGGAGCTCAAAAGTACGTTAAACATAATTTTCGAGGAACGTAACTTTAAGCACCGTGAAACTTGCTTTAAAGTCATCCTATATGATTTGACTAAGTTTAAATCTCTTTTTCTCTTTTTAAATGTGTGAAACTCAGTTTCCAACCACCCGTCACATGGTGGCCATGCAGACTGTTTGAAGTCCACCCCGACTGTCCTTGGTGGACCCCAAATATGGGAATAAAGATATGAACAGTGTATCATGCTTTGCTTTTGGAGTGGTCTAGACGCTTATGTGTAATTAGCATAGCATTCAGAATTCAAAGTTTTGGAGCTCATCTATGCTTTTTCCCCCTTCTTCTTTTGCAGGTTATGCAAAGGCGGGGAATTGTTGGATAGGATACTCTCTAGGTAATTTTAATGTTATTCTGTTTCTATATTTGGTGCATTTATCTCTCGCTTCAATCCTTCTAACTAATTATCCACCTTTTTGCTCTAGGGGTGGCAAGTACTCAGAAGAAGATGCTAAAATTATCATGGTACAGATTTTAAATGTCGTGGCTTACTGTCATTTCCAAGGTGTGGTTCACCGTGACCTAAAACCTGAGGTATTCAGCTACTGATATCCCAAAGTTCACTTTTTATGTTACATGATGGCTTCCTCAGATATTTAAACTTTTAAATTGTGTTTTTTTTCTGGCAATGTTCTGTAAGGCCTCGCATTTATTGAATAAGTCCATTCAATGCACAAGTACCAAGGATCTTTCCTCTTACACTGCCCCAGAATACACATTCTTCTATTGTGTTTTCATTGTTGAATCTCTTAGAGGATTTCCATGGCCATTTCTTAGCAAGGAAAATTATAAAATTTGACATAATATAGAAGTTTGTCAGAGAATAAAATGAATTTTTTTCATGCTGATGTTATTGATGGAATGTGATAACTGATTGTTTGGATTGAGCATCAGTTGGACTAAGAAACATCTTAAGGTTGTTGCCTATATCCAGCAAATAGGTTATATACCTTTGTTCACAGACTAGTTATTTTCAGAATGTTTTTGGAAATGACCTCATGATTGAATAATCATTCATGTATCAGTTCAAGACACTCTGCTCCCTTCCCTCCCCCAGAATGTGTCTTCCCTGTTTTGCAATAAAGGAGCCAGAGGTGCCTGATAAAGGCAGCATTATGGACTCATATTCGGAACGACGAAAACCAATTTTGGGTTCTTTTAGATTAGCTCATATAGAATTTCCTTGCTGCAAATATCCCCTATTTTAAATTTTTATTTAAGATTGATTGGTTGACGTGGTACTTCATGTAGTAGCAAACTTGGCCACTCCAGTTTAAATCTAGATGTTGAATTGTTATTAGTACTTAAATTTCAATGTTTTGATCTGTCTTTTGATAATTCAGTGCAATACATTATTTCTTTGTCCTTTTCTTGAGAAAATAAGGTTAGATGGGCTATTTTCCATGCTCATATAACTAAATGTGTCGATATGGAGTGGATAGTATTCTCTTATTATAATGTGTGCTCTCAGAAGCATACATGCAAGAAGGAAATTTGAACCCCACCCCCCCATCTGCTTATATGAATTTATTTTTTGTTTACTGACACTTTCTAAGTTTTGCTTCAGAATTTTCTCTTCACTTCGAAAGACGAGTCTTCCCCTCTGAAGGCCATTGACTTTGGACTCTCTGATTATGTAAAGCCAGGTTAATTCTATTGCTATTTGATGCTCTTCTCATCATTGTGGTATATCAAAGTTGATTAATAGCTATTTTTGCAGATGAAAGGCTTAATGATATTGTTGGAAGTGCTTATTATGTGGCACCTGAAGTTTTGCATAGATCATATGGAACAGAAGCTGACATGTGGAGTATTGGTGTTATTGCTTACATTCTTCTTTGTGGAAGCAGACCCTTCTGGTCTCGGACAGAATCTGGAATCTTCCGAGCTGTCCTAAAAGCTGATCCAAGCTTTGATGAAGACCCATGGCCTTCTTTGTCTTCTGATGCTGTAGATTTTGTAAAAAGATTATTGAACAAAGATTATCGTAAAAGGCTAACAGCAGTTCAGGCTCTCAGTAAGTACCTAAGCAACGTTAAGTTAGGTTTTGGTGTGCAGTTTAGGATGAGGCTAGATGGTATAATGTACCAGGTTTTAGCTTCTTTTTCTTACTTGATACTATCCATTACATCCATCCTCCTTACCTAAATACCATAAATGTGCAACTTTTGGTTTGATGCCGCGTAAATCAAAACAAATCTTGCATTAGACACTGCATATCTTTGTTTCTTATCATCGGCAAATTTTGTTAAAAGATGAATTTAGTCTGGAAAATTAAAGAAATTAATTAGTCCTTTTACTAGGTTCACCAAAAAAATTTGTTGGAGTTGCAGTGTTTATGTTTGATAACATAGTATTCTAATATATATGTACTGATTATCTTGTTTAGGTCATCCATGGCTGGCCAGCCATCATGATGTCAAGGTACCTGTGGATATGATAACATATAAGCTCGTAAGAGCTTATATATATTCGTCCTCTCTGAGGAAAAGAGCTTTAGGGGTACGTATATTTGGCTGTAGATAAGAACCTTCTTTCAAAATTTAGTTGATTGACTGAAATAATTATGAATCTATGGCAAGATTTTTACTTTTAATTGTTTATCTTATATGTTCCACGTTATCATGTTTACTTATCTACCTAATTCTTCATCGAATTTAGCTTCTGTTTAAGTAATTTGAAGTATTAAATTCAACTGGAGGAGGATAACTTATTGCAATTTTTTTATTCTTTAATCTTTAGATAGTACTGTTTATGTTCGGCAAACACATTAATGTTTATATCATATTGCTTGATTGAAATATCTGCTCTGCTACTGTAACAGGCTCTTGCAAAAACATTGGCAATACCACAATTATCCTATCTCCGAGAACAGTTCAGTTTATTAGGGCCAAGCAAAAGTGGATTTATATCCCTTCATAACTTCAAAATGGTCAGTTTTCTTTCCACCTGAGACACCCCAACCCACCATCCATCCACAAAAGAAAAAAAGAAAAGAGGCTTCTATGTTTACTTTATCAATCTTAATCCTCTGTAAGCAGGCTGTGGCAAAGAACTCGACAGAGGCAATGAAGGATTCACGTGTTCTTGATTATGTAAATATGGTAAAACTTTCAGTAACCTTTCTTTTCAAATGTTTCTTTTCTTAAAGCATGTTTAGGAAGCGTTTGTAAACAGTTCTGTTCATAAATAGATATAAATGAGCGGTGGATAGGTAGGAAGTACTCGTGGGTTCCACAAAATATATGAATAAAAAGTGGTTTGAATTATTATAAACATGAACCAAACATGTGCTTAGTTTTAGGCCACTCAGCACAGTAGATCAGTCTTACTACGATATGAGTGATGAGAATTGCTTAATGCAATTTCACCTGCCATGTAGGTGAGTTCTCTTCAATACAGAAAATTGGATTTTGAAGAATACTGTGCGGCAGCAGTAAGTGTGCATCAACTGGAAGGAATGGAAAGTTGGGAGCAACACGCGTGCCGTGCCTATGAGTTTTTCGAGAAGGATGGTAACCGGGCGATTATGATAGAAGAACTTGCCTCAGTATGTTCTCTCTCTCTCTGAATGTCTCGTGGCCTCATTATTGACTTGGTGATGTTTAATGATTTATGCCCTCGTGGGAGGTTGGAATTGAACTGTTTTCTTTAAATTAGAAATCTTCTCAAGTCTGTTTCTGATGGCCTTGAATTGTTGAAGTCGTTAATACATTATATTGCAGATTCTTATTCGCTTTCCATACTTGTTAAAAAAATATCTGACATTCATCTTCTCTCCAAACAGGAGCTTGGACTCAGTCCATCTGTTCCCATTCACGTAGTTCTTCAAGATTGGATAAGACACTCAGATGGGAAGCTCAGCTTCGTGGGGTTCGTCCGACTTCTTCATGGAGTTTCTTCACGCACGCTTCAGAAGGCTTGAAAAGCGCTCCATCTATACATCATTTTCTAAATGTCCTCGAACTTTACTGCCTGAAGCAGATTAAGGTCCGTCTGATTCTGGAGGCCGTGATGAAGTAACTGTGCAGAAGGTTGATGTACGTCGAACACCACAGCCAGTTGCAGCATTTCATTTATAGTTGTATTTGTTTCCTTATAATTTTCCTTTACTCCCATAATTTGGTGGGGTTGAAATTAGAGTAATGTACAGCTGAGTAGATCACAAAATGTGTTCATGGCTAGAAAAAAGAACTTGTGTCTTTTTTTGTTGTTTCCCTTGTGTACCCTGTGCGTTTAGCTTCTTAATATTTTGTAATTCTTGATCTAGAAGAGTTTTTTATTTTTTTTTTATGTAGCAAACAATGGAACTTGTGTGTTTTTCATGTGTATTTGTTTCATACTGCTTGATCATTTTTCTGGTGTTCAGTTGGGGTCTCGGTTTCCTATACATTTGACGGGATGTTTAACGACGTACAATTATGTCACGTATAAATCATGTCAATTGTGATCGCAAATTTATAGTTCTCCAACTCTGTATGTGGAAAAATAATAGTTATTTTTTTCTTTTTTGTTCAAATCAAGTAAATCACCTCTCTTTATGTCGCGCTAAAAAAGAACGTCTATGCCATAATTTTTGGAACGATGTCGGAAATGTGAAAAAAAAGTTAATCAAACTTATTGATTGATTACTTTTGACGGGATGTTTAACGACGTAACATAATTTTTCGATTCTTCTAACGTTTTTTATTTATTGATTACTTGATTGAGGCTCATCATAAAAATGGATTAGAATGGAAAAAAATCTTGTAAAGCCCAATTAAAAGGCATTCATATTCAATTATAACCCCATGTCTGTTCGAGTCTTATAAATAGAGGCCGCTAAGATATTCTTCATCTGTATTATGCTAAAAGTTGGAGAAGGCAAAAAGGGAGGCATATTCTTCACCCGTTGGCACCAATTGATTGTGTTGCAGTGATTTCTACTCGAGTTCTTTATCACTAAACTTGGAAGGTAGTATCGGATTCTATTAGTGTAAAAAGGGGCTTGATATGTTGAAATCACACTCGATCTGATTGTTGTGAATGATTTGATTTCGTCTCAGCTCCTTATGATTTGTAATTTTCTCTAAAATTTTGTTTCTTGATGGTAATCTTTATCTGGCAACGGTGATGTTTTCGACAACATTTCTCCTGAATTTTTTATGCGTCCGTCTCTATGAAAAATCAATTGTTATTAAATCTGCCTAAATTGATTTTGAAATAAATAAGAGGAAATTTATATCCGCTATCCATAATTTTATCATATCTTATCGAACTAATTCAAATTTCGATTAGATATTCTTTTCTTTTCTTTTTTTTCTATGGGTGATCGTTGAACTGGAAATAAAAATGGTAAATGCAACTTTGTAAGCTATCATCCTATAAACATTTCTTATTTTCTTGTATTGAATTTTGCGAAGTGCGTGAATATTGTTTAGTGGTAGTAAGGAGCGGAATGAAAGATTCAAGGTAGTTATGCAATATATATCACCACTCAAATTGGAGATCAATTTCATTTTTCTGAATGTAATTATATGGGAACTCTTAAGTATCTTTACTTCTAGTTTTAACAAATGATTTCATTATGGCCGGTTAAGGGTGTTATCTTTACTGTGGAAACAGGCAAGTATATCCAATTTAATAGGTGCTACTTTGACTGTGTGATATGCCGTATCTGGTTCGTGAGCATTTATTTATTGGCAACATTGGAGACGCAGCAGAGATTCTCCAAAACGGAAGCGACAAAGTTACACACATACTATCTGTTCTCAGTTCAGCATCGATTTCCTTTTTTTCCGAATGGCGTAGCGGAGTCTCCATTCCATGTAAAGAAATTCGAAATGTTTATGTTGAGGGTTCTAGATCAGAGGATGATGCATGTGATGGATCAAAGAGTTCGCTGTCGCCGAATAAACTTCTTTATTCATTGGAGTATGCAGGAAAAGATTTGAAGTTTGTGAGGATGGCTGTGCCATTGAGAGATATGGAGAATGAAGATTTGCTGGACTATTTGGATGTTTGTTTGGATTTTATTGAAGAAAGTAGGAAAGCAGGGTCTGTTTTGGTCCACTGCTTTGCTGGTGTATCAAGGAGGTATAATTCACAGTTTACATTTTGATTCTTGAATTTGTCCGTTCAGTTTTTCTATGAAGCCTTGAAATCTTTTCTTGTAGCTTTCTTTGAAACCATAATTTTGTTCTCAATCATAAAGTTTGCCCCTTTAGTACTCTCTAATGATTTCATAAAATTAACAATTATAAACGACTTGTTATTTTATTATCAATATTTGTATTAAGGAGCTTCCCAACATCAGTGTTCAATTTTTTGTCTGTAAGTTATGAGGAGAATGATATTCAACCAAAACTGATTCTGAAAGAGAATATTTGGTTTTCCCAAGAACTTCTATAGGACTTGGTTCTGTATCAATGGACACTCATTATCCATGCATGACCTTTCTCTTTTTCGTAGAAAAATCTTTTGCTTACGGCATTTATAAACTCGTGGGAAAACCATTGACTATACATTTAATGGAAATATTTTTAATCTGAAATTCCCTAATCCCCTAACATACTCCAGCTTGCTAGCTTCCACGGGCTATTCCATTATGGTACTCCAATTGGCCTAGCCTAGGAGATAATAGTATAGTTTGACTCCTTGCATTAATTCTCCTTGACTGCAAGGTTATTATACACACTCAAACTTATTTATCAATATCCTTTTTATGATCATTGATTATTTTTTATAAAAGAGTTCTAAAATACATGCAAGATATAATAACCTAGAATTGTTGGAAATGAAGTGAAATTGCTTTGATATCGGCTATAACTAAGCTTATTTAATTGATTGGCATATGAATCAGCTTTTGCCACTTTGTTTGATCCAGTTCTACATCTACTTAATTATCAAATGAAATTATATATTTTTCAATTACATCAAGATATAATTACCTAGAATTGTTGGAAATCAAGTGAAATTTCTTTGATATCGGCTATAACTAAGCTTATTTAATGGATTGGCATATGAATCAGCTTTTGCCACTTTGTTTGATCCAGTTCTACATCTACTTAATTATCAAATGAAATTATATATTTTTCAATTACATCAAGATTGATTATTTTGTTTTGAAACATGTATCCCATGGAATGAAGATTTTATCTATAAATAGGCTGTTCATAAATATTGTGTTCGTGTAGCTAATCTCGTGTGAGCTTATGCATTTTTGTGGGAACCTTTGGTTTAAAAATGTATCTCAAGTGATAGATTTTTTATCCATGAACTTGAATCTTTTCAAAGGTTGCATTCACACACGCACAATGCGCTATAATTTAATGCAATATGATTTTATCTGCTCCAGTATGACTTTAAAACACATTAATTTGGTCAGGATCTTTATTTGAGTAAATAAATACAATAACAACAAAATAGTCTATTACCAATAGATTTTGGGGCTTTCAGCTCGAATATTTTGTCGCCACTTTGTTGGATTTATCACAAAATCTATGAAAAACCTAATGAACTAGATATTTAGCAACCACGAAAAAACTGCTTGCTTGCCATTGCATGGTTGAGGTTACTCTGCTATTTGAAATGCATGGTGTCCTTGAATAGGTCAGAGAAGACACATTGTAATTGATTGCGTTCTCTGCTTTGTCAAGCCCTGAGGGTTTACACCCTTCTTTGCCTGTGTTCGTTACAGTGCGGCTATCATTACAGCATACCTGATGAGAAGTGAACAACTATCACAAGAAGGTGAACAATTAAGATATTAGTTTATGGTTTTGGAATTTTAATATAGTATATGTTTGTGTTTTAAAATTTGTGACAAAATCTTAGGCTCTTATAGATAAGCTTGAATATAATGGCAGTTACTTCATATTTGCAGTCTTCCTTTACGTTTCTTTTTGTTCCTCTACATTGTAATCTTTTTCCCTCTACTTTCTAACGGTTTCTCCTGTATTTTGTTCTAATTCTTCAGATGCAATTGAATCCTTACGGCAAAGCTGCGAATTTGTCTGCCCAAATGATGGTTTCCTGGATCAGGTTATACAAGTGCTAACCTTTCAATATAGTGACCGTTCAGAATGATTCTTGGCATTAGGTTCTTTACCTTGTTGATAATTCTCCCTCGCTTCCTTGTTTGTTTGCAGTTGAAAATGTTTGAACAAATGGGCTTCAAAATTGATCATGCTAGCCCCATATACAAGCGCTTCCGCTTAAAAGTACTAGGTTGAATGTTTATCCTATGACTTTTGATATCATGTTTCTAGATTCTTATCTTTTAGTGTGAAGACTAGCTTGTTTAATTTCATTTATTCGCATATTTATATTTTATTTTATTTTACTTAATGTTATGAAGCCTAGAATTTTCAAGGGAGACCGATGATTACTGGAGAGTGATAACCCCAAAGTTATGCCTAGTTCATTTGTGATATAATATATGCTGAAGAAAGTGATCTTTCTCTCACATGTGAAATAAGGATAAGAAGCAATTTTGATGCGAATGGTTGAATATGGTTACAACACAGGTAGAAATGATGGTGCTGACAAGAAACAGACAGATCTCTCCTTTATCATTCTTGTACGCAGCCTGCATAAATGTATGCTTTCAAGAACATACAAGAACAGAAGGGTAATGCTACATGTACACACACACTTTTACACAATCTTTTACACCTCTCTCACATGGAGGGGGGTCCACGATTATTTTATTATGTGTGGGCCCCCTCCCATGTGAGAGAGGTAATTGTGTACACTTAGCATTATTCAGAACAGAAATATTTCAAGCCATGATTTTTTATTAAAAAATAAATCTATAATATACTTTTTTATTCCAGCTGTTGATTCTGCATGTCGCATATCGAAAACTTCCTTCTTTTTCATGTGTAGTTGTGTGTTATCTCTCTAAATGTTGTATGAAGATTTAAGTAAATGATGCATGCCCACTGGTAAGATTCTGACCTCCTGTTTCTTAGATTTCACTCAACATGGAGAAATAAGTATTCCAATTCTTTTCTTTTTTTCTGTTATCATGATCCTGTGTAGTGCGGATGAATAAAAATATAAGCTTTAGAATCTTATCAGCTGATTACATTTGCTAAACAAACACAAAGACGGTTTGCATCAGTTTAAAATTAGTTTACGACTTCTGTACCTAGCTACTGCCATTCCTTCATATCAAATTCCATTTGATTTGTTTTGATACCAATACCGTAGAAGTGTACCCTTTTAAAAGTGAAATTTACCAGTGCGTGGCTACCAACCATATGTATGTTGATGATTCATGCCTTGCTTCTTTGAGTAAATCCCTTGTCTGTTCAAAGTGAATGATGGATATCCGTGGAAACTGTCAGTACATGTATAATGTGAATTCTCCTTGGTACATTTTAATCGGTATTCTTGTACATAGAAAGATGATGTGAGCATATGTTTTCCAATGCGGGTTCTATGTTTCTTGAAAATGAGCAGGAGTTTTACCTTTTTATGGTTTTGAGGATTACTCAATGCCATATTGGTATTCTGCGCCTCATAACAGGTGATTCATACCACCGTGGGGAACAAATTGATAATTCCAAATTTGGTGCTGATCCTGGCTTGCCAGCAGAGAAAGTTTCCTCTGAGGTTGAAACATCACATGATAAAGAAGCATCTAGTCCTACTCCTGTGTACCGTTGCAAGAAGTGCCGCAGAGTTGTTGCGTTGCAAGAAAATGTTGTAGACCATGTTCCGGGAGAAGGAGAGTCATGCTTCGAGTGGCATAAAAGGAGAAGTGGAAATCTTTTTAACAAAGCTGATGATGATGACTGTTCTTCTATCTTTGTCGAACCTCTACGTTGGATGACAACAGGTACTATATGTCAACTTTTAACTAGAAGTTTTGGATATCTTGTACATATAATGAACAGACGTGGCCAAGCTTAGAAAGTTTACTTATAGGTTACTTGTAAGTAGTTAAATAAAGTTCTGAAGTCATTAAGTTTTTTATTTATCAAAATTGAGAATTATCACATTAATTATTTTGACAGCAAGGAAAAAGTTACTTTAAAAAAACATTGAAGTGACTTTAAGTTGTTTGACATTTATGGTGGATCAAAGTAACTTTTACTTATTTTTAACCTTAGCGAAACATGCTTGAGCTTTTAGCTTGTCAACTTAGCTATGGAACCCAGAGTACAACCTGTCTATTCTTGATTTACATTTGGTGAATGATGGTTTTGCAAGTTTCACTGCAAAATTGGTTATGCTTCATTATTTTTTCAATCTTTCCTAATTAGTCACCTTTTATTTTTCATGCTACGGTTCCTGTGAATATTTGAAATTTCAGCTTTATTTCAATATGTTCTTTACTTAATTCTAACCTCACCTTTTACCAGATATGCACATCATATTTAAATTATCATGTTTTCTGATGTTGTGCAGTCAAAGAAGGTGCACTCGAGGGCAAGCTGTTATGTGCCCACTGTGAAGCTCGCTTAGGTTACTTCAACTGGTCTGGCATTCAGTGCAGCTGTGGAAGCTGGATTACTCCAGCCTTTCAGCTTCACAAAGGCCGAGTAGACATCAGCACCATATAAAATGTCTCACTGAGATATGGATTGGATTCGTGTTGGGTTCTACACGCTTTTACATTTTAACAGGAATAAATCTCTTATGCTGGTACCATATTTTGTCGAGGGTGCCAATAATACAAGGTTCCAATTGTTCGATCATTTTGGGTCAGACGTGTTGTGAAACATATGCGTAGTGGTTCAGAGTTGCTCGAGCAATTAAGGAAAACTGTAAAACCTGCCTCTTATGAGATACAACTGCCCCTTTTTTGTTTGATGAAAAAATTGGAAGAAAAATTGGAAGTATTACATAGCATCAATGTTTGTTAGACGTCCAACCTTTTGATATTACTCAAGAGGGACCCTCTGTGTAAATTTATATCGAATTCTATGATATTTTTCTTATGTTTGATTTACTCTCGATCTGTGATGCAGAGTAAGAGAATTTGAAGCTATAGAGGCTATGTTAGACAATCAAGAAAACATTGTGGATTTCATGATCTTTTAAGGCATTTTCAGTTCTAGAGGGTGCAAGTTTGTTTAAGTACTATCCATTACACCCTTACCAAACATGCCACTAGTGTACTATGAGCATGTTCCTTATTAGCGCATATTTCTCTCTCCGACTTATAAGTCAACTTATAAGCCACCCAAACATGACATGTCTATTTGTGAGATGTCCTCAAGCGGCTTATACTCTTGTAAATTGGAAGCTTGTTGTAAGAGAAATGAAACACAAGTGAGAAACAAAGTCCCCACTCTCTTCAAAAATTAACATCCAGTATATTCAGAAGTTCAATTTGCTAATAACCTGCATGCTCAAACAAGTATACACATTAAAATCGATGACTCCAAGGGCACTAACCAGCTATTGACGAGAACACATCTTGATTTGAGTACACCTTTCCTTCTCCAAAGCCAGATTATTGCCAGCTCAATGTGCCTGTGACTCGAGAAGGATGGTGGTGGCGGCATTAATGTCATTTCTGGCATGAATCAGTGCTTGCCTAGCTGAATTCCTCTCGAACCCCATAGAAACCAGTGTGGCAACAGAGTCATCAGCTGGCTCTATTGTAGACGACAAGGATGCAGGATAGTTCCTCTGTAACCAAGAAAAGTTAGATTTTTGGAAAATGGCCGAAGAAGTGGATATAGATTTGATAGTGCTTCCATATGCATGCATGTATAAATTAGAAACGACGCTATATGCAAAGACAGATATTTGTGTATTCATAAAATACTATAGGGAAATTAGACCACCAGTTCCCAAGCTACAGTCCAAGTAGCAAATTGGTCGTTTATTATAGTTGCATAATCAGTCTCTAATGATATAAACAGGCAATTTTGTGCTTGTGGTAAAATCTCCGCCAAAATAGTTGAATCTATGTGGGCTATGTGACGATTGGTTCTGCTTCAATAATGAAAGGTTGAGGATCAACTTGCTAATCAGGCAATAGATAGGAAGGAAACAAATTGTGCAACTTTGCATTAAGAGCCCAAAAAATATCAGAGGAAGAAAATGTTTTCCATGACTTCACCATGATTTTGCGAACTTCCATCGTATCAACTAAAAATTGAAACTTTCCCCAATTAAATATGAATGCATATGATGATGCTGAAAATCAAACTTTATACTTGCCTCCACTGCCTGACTTGCGTGGAATGGTGAACTTCCCAGGATATTGCTAGCTGGTGCAGTGGGTGATGCACTACCCGTGAATGGCCAAGAAAGCCGCGAAAAGAACGAGGCAATAAATTCGGGAAACTGGAAGAAAAGTAGATGGAAAGTCATGCATAGTAGCTTCAAGAAATAACAAAGACGCTCCATGCAGTTTTGTCAAAAGCAATGGCATATATGAAATGGATAAAACTAAGCCCCTGTTTGGGCCCCCATTTTCTAAAACTCATTTTCAATCACATTTATGGGACCCACAACTTATATCAACTTTTCAACCATAAATTTTGTCAACTTTTATCAAAATCTACTAAAAATCTGATTTTAGAAAAACCAAACAGGGGCTAAATAGAAAAGATTTGGTGCAACCTTAATCTTACGAACATGAAGAACATTTAAGCGATACAGGAAACCCGCAAGAATACCGCAGATCCCAGGTAACATAGATTTTTTCCAGGATGACAGAAGAAGCTGCAAGATAAATATGCAGAGAACATTCGGCATTAGATCAGATGAGTATCCCAAATTGGGAAAAGAAAAAGAAGAAAAAGGATACAGTCATGCTTAGCATGCATTACCTGAAGACCAGCTAAATAAATAAAAGTCTTGTCGGAAAAGTGGAGGCTGAAAACTCGAAACCTTGTTGAAACAGGAATGTCGAAATAGAAGGGTATAAACGAAGAAAATATAAGATCATAGGGTCCTGATGCGAGTACAGTCAAGGAGGGATCTGCCAGAAAAATAAAGATTTAAGGATCAGAATAAAAACTACCAATCGTCTATATAAATGGAAATAGGTGAATATATTTCAGATAGGTTATGGTCCATCACTCCACTGCACCGGAATCAACAATCCCGTGAGTAAACAATAAAATGAACAATGAAATGGAGGATATACAAGAAAAAAACAATAAAGTCCATAAAATAATTGAACACCGCAAGTTCTCAATTATCCCAACCTTTCAGATATATAATCGACACTCAACAGGAAAAAGAGAAAAATGGCCATGAGCCATACGATGAATGAGTCAAGAAAGTCAATGATACAAGCTCTTTACATTGTCAGATCTACTTGGACGTGACCCATTAGACCATGTTGATCTAATTATAATATTATTTATCCAATTTAGCATTCATCAAATTTAAGAGAGAAAGGGCATATAATTATTTCAAGTAAAAAAAGAAGAAGAATACTTGAGCCAGTTTTATATGTGGTGTCAAATGATTAAAGAATCTTGCGCATCACAAGAAAATTGCCAAGGATACTTGATATTACTGTCCCCAATGTAACCTCGAGCAGCAAGCCAATAAAAGTCACTAAAGGAAAGAAAAGATAAAGATAACGGTGCATACCTTTGAGTAGTTTTAGTGCGAGGACTTCGAGCAGTAAAGAGACGATGACAGAAAACAAGATAAAGACCTGCGTGAAAGATATTGATATAGAAAGGTCAGGAACATGTTGGTAAAAGGAGATACTTAATGCGTCTTCCATAGCTCGTTCATTTAACTAGTCAAGCAAATAGTTGTCTTAAAAACTGTAGCATATGATAGTGGATCTGGCATTAATATGTTGTTATCAAAAACTAAGAAACCATTAGCCTATAATTTTTCTCCAGTATAAATTTACGAAAATATTATGTCAGCATTGTCTAGTGGGACAATCTATTTTTTCAGTATAAATAGAGCAAGAAGTTCATCTATGTTTGCTGCAAGTTCATTTTGAGACACTTGAAATTGCATATAAAGGCAAATATTCTACAAAATGAACTGTAAGGATCAACTTGAATTTCTGACATGCCTACAGGTCAACAGCAAGTTGAATGAAATCAATGAGATTTTTCTCTCATTCCTTGCATTACATTCATAAGGAGACATCTCAGTGTGTCGGAAGTACTTAAGACTCAAAGCGTAACATATTGTTTTCTAATGTCTGTTACAGTCTTACAGACCAATATAAACTTTATGAATAACACCTAAATGACAAGTTTAGGTTGAATTGAAACTTACAGAATATTTGTTTGAACCAATTTGCCTCTCAAACACACGGAAGTAATACAGCAGATAAATTCCAAAAACTAGTTCTGGTGTAGATGAAAAGGCAAAAACTGATGATATCAGCTTCCATATTTGAAGTTTCTTGAAAATATCCTGTCATGAGAAGACCAATAAATTAATTGATGTAGGATCAAAAGAAATGTTCCAGTAGAGAATTAGGATCACCACAATATTTTAAGCAGCACAATTGCAGCACCAGAAGACAGAGAAGAATAGAAGACGAGGAAAAGAAGAACAGGGGACAAGAAGGAGTTGGCAAGAGAAGAGGGCAGCAAGATAGAGGGAGAAGCCTGGAGAGAAAGGGAGAGGACCGGAGAAGAAGAAGAAGAAAACAGAGAAGGAGAAGAAGAACAAGGGAGAAGAAGGCGTTGGCAAAAAGCCACGATTCAATTTTCTTTCATTCATCCTCTACTTTGGAAGTTCAATACAAGCATATAAATAATAAAACATAAACCAAATAGTTAAGGGGCTTGGACATGCCCATAATACAAACCCAACTAATAAAGCAAAAGTAAAATAGTCCAAAACAAAATAAGATGGCCACACAGGGTGAAGTCCTCATCGTTAATGCTCCTTTGTAACCTATAATAAAAGAGCAGGAAATAAAATTCATTGCTAAACGTGTCAACTCTATTTGTTTCCGCATTTGACTATAAGATCCTCAGTTTAAACAGAAGAGCTTCTGTCACCGTAGCTGTTCGTTTGGATCAATGAAAATAAGATTAAGGGTGTGTTTGAGCCACATTATTTTGAAAGAATGTATTATGGAATAGTAAATTGATGGAGAATGTGTGGTTGAAAAGGAAAGAAAAGTTATTGATGTGATGAAAAATATTATTTTATTGAAAAATGTGAGGTTGAAAATTAGTAGAAGAATGAGAATGAAAAAAAATAATGTGTACCAAACAAGAACTAAGATAACCCAAGTCCATACCAAGAAACTGATATTCAAAAACATAAAGTTGCCTAAGGCTACAATTTCAACCTAAAAGTACATTCCTATCCTAGATGAATAACTACACTACTACAAATGAATGAGTGCTGCTTATAAGAATTAAAAATCAAAACATAGTAAAATCACAGCCAAAAAAAATATTGAATACCTTTTTGTGGGCTCCATTAAACCAAAAATACATTTTTCCAAAACTCATTTTTAATTAAACATTCTTCAATAAAATAATATCACACAGTAAACACAAAACTGTTTACTTTTTAACCACACATTCTCTAAAAAAAATTACTATTCCAATATACATTTTATCCAAAACCTATTTAAAAAGGAGCCCAAACGAGGGCTTAAAATGAGAAGGCTACAGGGGCGGATTTGGCAGTGGGCAGAACTTGGCTGTAGCCCACTGCCCCCAAGTCCAGATCCAACAAAAATAAAACAAATTAACGGAAAACAGTTTTCATTTTAGTGTATAGCCCACCAACAATTATTATCACTTGGCAAGCCCAGCCTAATTCTTAAAACTAATTATTTGTTTTAATTTTTTGCCCAATTCTTAAAACTACGTTTAATTTTAGTCCAAATCCATCACATGCTCATTTGATTTTGGGAAGCAACTGATGGAATATACACGTGAAGAAATTTTGGAAAGAAACTACGAGTATGAATGTTTATGCTTTGTGAAACTTCCATCTTAAATTTTGTTCTTCCCTATCCCCATGAAAAAAGTCCTTCGGTGAAATTTTTCCTATTTTTACATTGTCAAAGAACTCATTGTTGTCTAATATAGTTGAAATAATTCTAGGTTGTCACTTCTTTTTGGAAGTAAAAAAATATATATATAGTTAAGAAATTGTGGAACTCATTTCATTTACAACCTATGCATGATGAGTAGGCTACTGATATCAAATCTAGTTTCTTACAATATGAATGAATTTCAAGTTGGGAAGGAAAATAGAGGGATAAGAATTTATAATTTCTTACAATAGAGGGGTATGAATTTATGATTTAGGAAGGAAGATTTTAAGTTAAGTTCTGAGCTCTTACAATATGAATGAATTTATGATTAAGATTTTATCAATTTATGTTTATGGGATATTGTCATATTGTGTTTTGGTTTTTATGCTTTTAGGATTAGATTTTAACATAGAAGAAGATCAACCTTCTGCCAAGAAAGAAGAATCTTGTTATCTTTCTTTTCAAAAAGTAACAAATCTAAGGATACAACTGTAATAGCTAATGTTATATTACGACTTTTTTTGATATATATGAATTTTATCCGTACATTAAATTGTTAAAAAATATTTGCCCCCTGTAATGTTGATTTCTAGCTCCGTCCCTGGAAGGCTGCAACTTAAAATATTAATCGATGGTCTGGAATTTGGGATACATATGTTGGGAAACACTAAAAATGACTACAATTGGCTTCATCTAGTAAAAAGGCAGGTTGATCTACTTTATACTCATCTGATAGAGTAATGACTTGACTAAAGATCCACATGCTAATGAATCGGGGAAGGGTTTGGATACAAACCCAATAATTACCTAGGGAAAGAGTAAAGTTGTTTAAATCTTAATAGTCATTAAGTACATTCTCTACTTCTCAGGCAGCATGATTATGAATACTATACTAGAAGAATATAGCATAAACTTCAATCAAAACAAGAAACTCAATTGAAATCAATTACCAATAACTAAAATTAATAAAATTGAAATCAAAATACCACGAGCAAGGACAGAGTGGAAAGAAATCCATTAAGCTTCAAGGTGAAAAATGCAAAAAGCAACAGAACGGACGAAATTACTATCACAAATCAAAATCAAAGACGGTAGAATGTCAATGAAACTAATTAAATATATAACTAAAAACCTAGAAATACTTTAGCAAAATGAGTACCTGATAGGACCAACCAACGATGCCGGAGCGACCTTGAATTCCAAATAGGATCGTGAGAAGGGTACTCGCAATTACTATCGTCCTTGTCACCAGCGCGTTGTCTGTAAAACAAAATCAACATTATCACATTTTTTATACAGATTGCACAATAAAAAACTTTTTCCGAAAAAGATTTGAGTAAAAACTTGTAATTAGTTGAAATTTTTAATGGGATATTATGGAGAAAAACGTACTGAAACCAGATGGGCCGCCGTTCATTTTCCAGATAAACCAACGACCTCTCTTGCTCGCGGTGTCTCTCTTAACTGTATGTATATTGATCTTGATCGTCTTTCTCTTGGCTGTTTTCTCCTGAGTATAAACGAAGAAAATATAAGATCGTAGGGTCCTGATGCGAGTATAGTCAAGGAGGGATCTGCCAGAAAAATAAAGATCTAAGGATCAGAATAAAAACTACCAATCATCTATATAAATGCAAATAGGTGAATATATGTCAGATAGGTAATGGTCCATCACTCCACTGCACTGGAATCAACAATCCCGTAAGTAAACAGTAAAATGAACAATGAAATGGAGGATATACAAGAAAAAAACCAATAAAGTCCATAAAATAATTGAACACCGCAAGTTCTCAATTATCCCAACCTTTCAGATATATAATTGACACTCAACAGGAAAAAGAGAAAAAAGGCCATGAGCCATACGATCAATGAGTCAAGAAAGTCAATGATACAAGCTCTTTACATTGTCAGATCTACTTGGACGTGACCCATTACACCATGTTAATCTAATTATAATATTTTTTATTCAATTTAGCATTCATCAAATTTAAGAGAGAATGGGCATATAATTATTTCAAGGAAAAAAGGAAGAATACTTTAGCCAGTTTTATATGTGGTGTCAAATGATTAAAGAATCTTGCGCTTCACAAGAAAATTGCCAAGGATACTTGATATTACTGTCCCCAATGTAACCTCTAGCAGCAAGCCAATAAAAGTCACTAAAGGAAAGAAAAGATAAAGATAACGGTGCTACCTTTGAGTAGTTTTAGTGCGAGGACTTCGAGCAGTAAAGAGACAATGACAGAAAACAAGATGAAGACCTGCATGAAAGATAATGATATCGGAAGGTCAGGAACATGTTGGTAAAAGGAGATACGTAACGCATCTTCCATAGCTCGTTCATTTTAACTAACCAAGCAAAAAGTTGTCTTAAAAACTATAACATGTGATAGTGGATCTGGCATTAATATGTTGTTATCAAAAACTAAAACCTAATGCCTAGAATTTTTCTCCAGTATAAATTTACGAAAATATTATGTCAGCATTGTCTAGTGGGACAATCTATTTTTTCAGCATAAATAGAGCAAGAAGTTCATCAATGTTTGCTGCAAGTTCAATTTTGAGACACTTGAAAAAGAATTTAATAATCAATTTTTCATTTGCATATAAAGGCAAATATTCTACAAAATGAACAGAAAGGATCAACTTGAATATCTGACATGCCTACAGGTCGACAGCAAGTTGAAAGAAATCAAGGAGATTTTTCTTTCATTCCTTGCATTACATTCACAAGGAGACATCTCAGAGTGTCAGAAGTACTTAAGACTCAAACCGTAACATATTGTCTTCTAATGTCTGTTACAGACCAATATAAACTTCATGAATAACAGCAAACTGACAAGTTTAGGTTGAATAGAAACTTACAGAATATTTGTTTGAACCAATTTGCCTCTCAAACACACGGAAGTAATACAGCAGATAAATTCCAAAAACTAGTTCTGGTGTAGATGAAAAGGCAAAAACTGACGCTATGAGCTTCCATATTTGAAGTTTCTTGAAAATATCCTGTCATGAGAAGACCAATAAATTAATTGATGTAGGACCAATAGAAATGTTCCAGTAGAGAATTAGGATCACCACAATATTTTAAGCAGCACAATTGCAGCACCAGAAGACAGAGAAGAAGAGAAGAGGAGGAAAAGAAGAACAGGGGACAAGAAGGAGTTGGCAAGAGAAGAGAAACCGATAAGAGAAGAGGGCAGCAAGATAGAGGGAGAAACCTAGAGAGAAAGGGAGAAGACCAGAGAAGAAGAAGGCGTTGGCAACAAGCCACGATTCAATTTTCTTTCATTCATCCTCTACTTTGAAAGTTCAATACAAGCATATAAATAACAAAACATTAAGGGCTTGGGCATGCCCATAATACAAACCCAACTAATAAAGCAAAAGTAAAATAGTCCAAAACAAAATAAGATGGCCACACAGGGTGATGTTCTCATCATTAATGCTCCTTTGTAAGCTATAATAAAAGAGCAGGAAATAAAATTCAGTGCTAAACGTGTCAACTCTATTTGTTTCCGCATTTGACTATAAGTTCCTCAGTTTAAACAGAAGAGCTTCTGTCACCCTAGCTGTTCGTTTGGATCAATGAAAAATAACACTAAGATAACCCAAGTCCATACCAAGAAACTGATATTCGAATACATAAGGTTGCCTAAGGCTACAATTTCAACCTAAAAGTACTTTCCTATACTGGATGAATAACTACACTACTGCAACTGTATGAGTGCTGCTTGTAAGAATTAAAAATCAAAACATAGTAAAATCACAGCCAAAAAAAATATTGAATACCTTTTTTGGGCTCCGTTAAACCAAAAATACATTTTTTCAAAACTCATTTTCAACCACACATTCTTCAATAAAATAATATTACACATAAAAACAAAGCTTTTCCTTACTTTTTAACCACACATCTCTAAAAAATTACTATTCCAAAAAACATTTTCCCAAAACCTCTTTAAAATGGAGCCCAAAGGAGGGCTTAAAATGAGAAGGCTACAGGGGCGGATTTGACAGTGGGCTGCACTTAGTTGTAGCCCACTACC